CCCTCGGCCACTGAAGACAGAGTCGACTTACCCAGAGATCGAACCAACTGCTTCTTCCTTCCTTGTCGGGGCTTAGGGCGAGGGAAGGAGGGGAGGGGGAAGAGGGGAGGAAATCAAGGTGGGTTTCAGTTTTCCCACCTTAAAAAAAAAAAGGAAATTAAAAAACGGAGAAGGGCCAACAAAAATGAGAAAAAAAAAAGCTCACTATTTACTATTCCAGGGACGCCTCCCCCGAACACACACATAGACTGACACACACGCACTCGCCCCACCAAAAAACAGGGGAACGGGTCTGAGGGAGAAATGCTCCCGCCCGGCCGGGGACTGAGGGAAGGGGGAGGGGAACGGGGCCAAGTCCCGAAGCCTCAGCGCCGGGAGGACCCTCCGGCCACAGGCGGCGGCGGCGGGAGCGGCGGGAGTCGGGGTGGAGAGTCCACACGGCCCGGGAACGCTCCGCTGCCAGTTGCAGTCCGACTCCCCCAACCACAACACCGCTCCCACTCTCACGCGGCTACGGCGCTGGGCCCCCCCACCCGGGCTCGCCTAAACTTTCCCCCCTTCTCCCGCTCCTCAGCGACTGGTGGTTCCCCCCTCCCCCTCGGGGTGGTTGCACGGACTGCAGCAGCAAAGACTGGAACGGGCAACGCCGCCGGGGCTGTAGCTACTGTTGCTCTGGCTGATGCTGTAGCTCCCGCTGCTCCTGCCGCGGCCGCTGCAGCCGCTTCTCCCCCTCCTCCTAGTGCCTCAAACTCGGAACCGGTTGAAACCGGTTCAGACTGGGAGATTCCATCTCGGTTGAGTTTTCAGCCCATGGCGCCGCGGAGCGTTTGGAACCTGGGCCTCCGCCCCCAGCCCGCCCGCTCATTGGTCGGTTCTAGCCACAGCCGCGCCATCAGCACATCTTGTATTGGCCTGAATGCCCGTCAATCCCACCTCAAGGCTCCACACGAGCCCGCCGCTTCGGCCCCCGCCTCTTTCCAGCAGCGATTTGCCCGCAGAGTGGGGGAGGGGAGGAGGGGCGGGACGAAGAGGAGTGAAGAAGCGGGGTGGGGGTAGAGGAGGAGGCGGGTTGAAGAACTGAGCCCAGCAGAGAGAAGGGAGCGAAGAGAAGCTGCGGGGAGGATTGGCTTGAATGATCTGTCAATCAAACGTATCCCGCCTTCGACTTCCTTTCACCCTCCCGCGACTCCCCCCTCCCAGTGTGTGGCTCGCAGGCCCAGCCTTTCTGGCTCGTTCATTGGCTGGACGCCTTTGGTGACGGAGAGGGTGGAGCGCAGCTCGTGAGCTGCTGGCGGCGCGAGTTTGAGCCTGGCGCGGTAGCGTTCTCCCGGCTTTCCTGAGCTTCGCGCCGGCTGGCTCCCGCCAACCTGCCCCGGACACGCCCCTCGGATGGGGGCTGCTCTTGGAAGGCGGAGGGAGCTTCCAGTTGTCTTTAAACCTGGGAGGGGTGGAAGGAAGGGAGTAAAGCACACTTCGGAGGTCGGTTGTAGGCCCCGGACCTCGGCAGTCCGCGATAGAGGCCTCAGAGCCCGGGAGTTGAAGATTCGAATAACCAGGCGGAGGATGGCGTGAGCTGCGAGGCGGGCTGCCTCGGCGCCCAGTGATCATCCTCAAGTCCCAGGAAAGGTATCGGGACCGTAGGCCAGCCCACTAGCTTAACTCTTGTCTCCCTAGTCTGGAATTTGCCTCGACCACAGATCCTTCCTAAAAATGAAGACTGTAATCCCCGTGAGTGCTTAACCACCTCAGTTATTCACCGGGTAAACTTGTGTGCCCACCTGGGTACTCTTGTCCTGAGACGGACGCTGCTTCTGTTCAGTTTAGCCGCCCTCTGCACTACTTCATCATCACCAAATAGTACTGTCGGAAAGCCACGCACATGGCCTTTCACATGGTTGCCTCTCTTGTTTGTCCCCTAGAGCCCTCCAAATCAGCTTTTAAAAAGGAGCAATCTGCCCTCCAATATGTACTAGGCCCATTGTGCCACCAAGAGGTGGATAACTGGTTTATTAAATCAACACAATTTTCTTTAGCACATTTTCATTCACAACAGACAATGGCTTAACACAGTTTTCCTCTCCAGTCAAAACCAAGCAGTAATGTAATATTTAAATGTACTAAAATGATACTGGATTACTTCCAGACCTAAGATTTTTACTTATTACCTAAGACTTAGTGCTGAGGAACATTTTTTTTCTGTCAAGGCCCATTTGGATATTTAAAACATCATCATTTGAGGACCTAGAATTACTGTAATTTGCTTTGAATAAAAAGCTGTTTTTAAAAGTGAGAGAAGAGATGTGTAAGAGAGAAGGGTGACAACGTTGTCACTTTGTATTCATATGCTGTTTTGTAGAATGGGAACTTTTTTGTACCACTACTTAAAGATAATAAATAAAGTAAAATAAAATAGAAAGCTGCTTTTAGGTTTATTGAATTTCAAGTCTCACCTGCAATTACCTTGGTAGGGCTACACTTAACAGTTTCTCAGGTCTATGTCCCCCATACTAATATAATGTATATGATATATTTTGGTCTTTTGGAATATTTGAATTCTATTATCAGAAATAGTGTTCTATTTTTTTTTTTTGTCTGAACAGTACACTTGTGCATGCCTGTAATCCCAGCTCTCAGATGCTTTTCTTCATTGAGGTTATTTTTTTTTTTCTGAGTCCAGTCGTGGGGCCTGACCTCTGGGCCTGGGCGCTGTCCCTGAGCCCTTCAGCTCAAGGCTAGCACTCTACCACTTGAGCCACAGCGCCACTTCCGGCTTTTTTCTTTTTGCTTATGTGGTGCTGAGGAATCGAACCCAGGGCCTCAGGCATGCAAGGCAAGCGCTCTACCACTGAGCCACCTTCCCAGCCCTTCATTGAGGTTATTATTGTTAATATTTTTCTAATTTGGTGGCGCTGGAGTCAAACTTAGCACTCCACCAGTGAGCCACACTTCCAACCTTCACCCCACAATTCTTGAATTGAAGCACTATATTCTTTCTCCTAATTCATATTGTCTCACAAAATAAAAACAAGAAGAACATAGCCCACAAATTCCCTTTCTCCACTTGTCACTTGTATACATTAAAATTTTATTTTTGTCCTCAAGTGTGAAAATAGAACAATGGACCTGTTGAAATTGTATAGAAAAGGGGGAGGAAGGTAAGGGAGAGTCAGTGGAGGTGGTAGAGGGGTTAAAATACATAGAAATGCCAGGCGCTGGTGGCTCACGCCTGTAATCCTAGCTACTCAGGAGGCTGAGATCTGAGGATCATGGTTCAAAGCCACCCAGAGCAGGGTTCAAAGCCAGCCCGGGCAGGAAAGACCGTGAGACTCCTATCTCCAATAAACAATCAGAAAACCAGAAGTGCCTCTGGCTCAAGTGGTAGAGCACTCCCCTTGAGCTGAAGAGCCGAGGGACAGCGCTCAGGCCCAGAGTTCAAGCCCCACAACCGACAAAAAAAAACAAAAAACAGAAATGTCACAGTGAATCCCCCTTTGTATTTGCTAATGTATGCAAATAAAAATAAAATAATTTTAGATAGGATCTTGATATGTAGCACAGCTGGAATCAAACTTACATTCCTCTTGCCTTATAAAGACAATTTTTCTCTTTCAGAAGTAGGGGAATCAAACCTGGGCCCTTCTACCTATTAGGCAAGTATTCTACCAATGAGCTACACATCCAACCTTTGACCTTTGAAGACAGATTTCTCTATGTAGCCCCACTCTGGCTTCAAACTCCTAGTCCACCTGCCTTTGATTCCTGAGTGTTAGGATTACTAGCTAAAAATTATTTCTAATTTAAAAAGTAATAAGTGATTATGATTAACAATTAAAACAATAAGAAAACATTTCAAACAATAAGGGGGGAAAGTCAATAGAGGTTAAAGTGAAAGTCCCCTTCATCTGTCCACAAACCTTTTACCTGTCCAGAAGCAATAGTCAAGAGAGCTATAAGTAGAGTTTGATTTTCTATGCATTTACGAACATTTGCCTTGTGATTTTTGTTGTTTTTTGTTAGTCATGGGGTTTAAACACCGGACGCTGGGCACTGTCCCTGAGCTCTTCAACTTAAGGTGAGCATTCTACCACTTGAGCCACAGTACCACTTCTGGTGTTCTGGTGGTTAATTGGAGGTAAGAGTCTCATGGACGTTCCTGCCTGGGCTGGCTTTGAACTGCGATCCTCAGATCTCAGCCTCCTGAGTAGCTAGGATTACAGGCATGAGCCACCGGCACCTGGTTTGTCTTTGTTTTGATCAACATATATGACAAGACACACACTGTATAGAAACTTGCTATTTACTTTGGTGTGTGACATGCACACACCTCCACTTTCAGCTTTATGCTGTTTAGCTGGAGATAAGAGTCTTACAGAGGGGCTGGGAAGGTGGCTCAGTGGTAGATGCTTGCCTTGCATGCATGAGGCCCTGGGTTCAATTCCTCAGCACCACATAAGCAGAAAAAAGCTGGAAGTAGCACTGTGGCTTAAGTGGTAGAGCGCTAGCTTTGACCTGAAATGCTGAGGGACAGTGCCCAGACCCAGAGTTCAGGCCCCATGACTGCCAAAAAAAAAAAAAAAGAATCTTACAGATTTGTCTCCCCAGGCTGCTGGCTTCAAATTGAAATCCTCAGATATCAGCCTCCTCAGTGGCTAGGATTTTAGGTATGTGCCGATAGCACCTGTTGCTTTTTTTACTTAATATATCAGAATGTATAAAGATGTCTGCCTTATCCTTGTTAGTAGCCCTATAGTCTTCCCTGTCTTTTCAGTACCAGAAAAGATTCAACTATTTGTCCCACAGAGGATGGTTAGTCTAATTTTCTATTTTTCCTCTGGGCACAAATGCAGATATGTGTCTAGGTTAAAGTCCTAAAACAAGTTACGTGTCAAAGGTCATGTGTGTTTGTTTTGATAAGTACTGTCGAACCTCTAAAAAGATTTATATTCCCACCTTAATACACGGACTGTACCTTTTTATTCCTATGATAACTATTGATACATGCTATTTCCACTGATGATGCGATTCATAACTCTTAAGAAAATTCAGACCAGAGTCTTATTTCTTTTTTTTT